TTTTAATATTTCATTTACAGATAATCACTTCCATAGCGTTCGTATTCATTTTATATATACTTTCTGTAGGGAAACAATTTTACAAATTATAAACGTTTCCATAGAGATTTTATATATATTTTATATATATTTTCTATAGACTATTTAAAATTACAGTTTTTAAAATGACTGTTTAGAATATTATACAGTTCTACAGAATATACTATAAATAAATAAATTTATATTGAAATTTCATATATGTTATACTCTATATAGATTTTATATGTTCCTATAGAGATAATCCCTAATAAAATTGTTATAATACATTAAAAAAAATACAGGTAAGGACTATAATTTTTTATAGAATAATTATAGAAATTGTATAGTTTTATTATAGAGAACTTGTCATATCATTTGTATAGATTATTCTATAAAATTTCTATAGAATATGCAAGATGTAAAACATGTTGGTAGGAATATACTGGTCAGACACGAATGTGTCAATAAAATATTGAATGAAACAAAAACAAAAAATAAAAACATAGAAATTACATTAAATATGTGTATATAGTATGTTATAGAATTCTATAGAAACTAGTGCTTCTATAAAACAATTTTATAGAAAATACTAATTTCTGTAGAAATTGATTAGTCTCTATAGAAGGTCTATACAGTTCTATAGAATTTTTTTGTATGGGTAGGCCTATAGTTTATCCTCTTTCTCTCTAGCCTTTGGTAAAACTGTACCTATCTACACTGTATAACAGGAGGTACTATCTGTTGTTGTTGTAGATAATATACTAACATTTAATAACATCCAAGAAGGTCACAGTTAGTTACACAGTGACGTACATCACATAAGTCCGTGAAATTTCATAGGCCTACCGTAGGTAAACATAGAAAGAGCATAATAGTAAAACTCGAGCGTCACGACATTGCGACAGTGTCTGCTCTTGTTCCTCGTATCGTACTCACTCGAGTCAATCCGAGATGGCCCGAGTGAAGTTTCATGCAAATGTTTCGTACGGAAAAAAAAATCGCTTCCGGGTTGACCAGAATAGCAAAGTGTCTACTGCCTGAGGGCAGTATACACAAAAATAAGCGCCCTTTTTTCTATTCATATGACGGTTATGCTACTGAACTTGAATATTTTCTGTGTACTGTAATACAAATAAAATAAAGACAATTGCCCTCTCATTTGTATTATATGATTTTAATTTATATAAGACAAATCCAGACACTGTTTCGTTATACAGTACAGTAGTACAATACAGCCCAATAGTGACCAGACCTAGCATAATTAGGCCTATGCTTTTTTGGCATAATCTAGACCCGTTTAGTATAATTTAATTTTGGCAAAATTTAGCATAATTTTGTCCTAAGAAGTAAAATATCTCAATGGTCTCACAAAAAAAAAATAAATAAATAAAACAAAATTGGTCATAATTCAAACCCAACGAAATTGGATACCAGATTACTCAACCACATCATTAAGTCGTTTTTTTTTTTTTTTTTGTTGCCTTTGTCCTGCACATCGACGTACCGTATACCGAACCATCTGTGAAGTATAGGCCTATGCCTGAACATTTTTGAAATGAACTGCATAAATGGGAAGAGCCAATTAGTAGAACCCCTATAATAGGGAGACACCTTCAGGACCAAAAAGTGTCACCTCAATACAGATGTCCCCTTGAACAGGGTCCCCTATTAAGGTGGGGGAGGGGGAGGCAGGGCCCCGTAGGGAAGAGCTCCCCTGCCCGTCGGAGAGAAAAACCATAATTCGTCGGGGAAAAAATGTACATATATGTATTTTTTACATACTGGTAGACTCTTAAATCTATTAAATAAGTCTTTGAAACCCCCATTGTCGTATTTTCGGGGGTCCCTTGAACACTTTCGAAAAGGTTTTGAGCGACGCCCGACCACGTCCACTTTTTCGTCGGGGGACATAAAGATATCATAGGCAGGGGTCCCAGGAAATAACCCATCTCCCGCTAATTCATAATATTTGCATGTTATAAATAATAATTTTATTATCAATTGTTTCATGTAAATCAGTGTCGGTAGGTATCACTCTGTGCAGTAATATACAAAATTAAATTTGTTAACAAAGTCATAACCACCGCAAATCAGTGGAGGATTTAAAGGGAGGTCCTAATTGTTTCCAAATTATTAAAAAAAAGGGGGAAAAAAAAAAGAAAATTATATTCTAAATTTTATGTGAGAGTGTCATTTCCAGCAATCTTACGTACATAATCATAAATTTCTTACCCAAAATGGTGGGGCTGAGGTAGGCCTACCCTACATCTAAGCTTTTTTACTATGTGACCGTGATTTGCTTTCGATATGGGAGGGGGAATTATTTAGGGGCTCTCCCCTGCAAGGCCTCTGTTGAGGCCAATTCAATTCAGATAACATTTATTTCGATAATAATGCCAAACAGATACAATTATAACAGTACAAAAAAAATGACAAAAAATGGGGGAAAAAAACGTTATCATCATTGGGTCCTAGCTAGAAGTAGGTCTCGCTAGGACCCAGTAAAGAGGTAGAAAGAAAATAAATTTTAAAAAGACAACAATAAACTAAATATGTATATAATAATAATAATATATGCATCCATTTTTCTACTTATATTTTATCAATTGAACTTATTTAGATTTCGTAAAAAGGTAATTTATAAATGAAGTACAAATATATATCGATTCTTCCTTATATAATAGGCCTATGTATATCTTCTTTTTTTTTGCTTTCTTCTTCCTATTTTTTTCCTCCTTTCTATTCTCTTTTATATGCAACATAAGACCTATATGGTCATTAATAGAAAGAGGCCTAGAGTATAATTGGCCCTAACCGCCGCCCATACAAAAAAAAGATCTATTAATCAATCAATCAGCTTTTAATCAATCAATCATTTGAGTGTTTCTAGAGCTCCTCGTCGGAGATAATAATTGATATAAAACTATTCTTTAAAATATAAGACAGGCCTATATTTGATGAATTTTGGTGAATTTCATTAGTTATTTGATAGGCATCAAGTTACCGTAGCATGACTTCATGTATGTTTTTTAATGTCTTTTGGAAATTTTGCCTGGAAATCTGTAAACCATGAGGTTGGCTTCCCCGATCAAGATGTATTCCAAGAATCACGAGGATATCCAAACGAGCATTTGTCAAAGTATAACGTAAACCATTTTTAATTAGTCTCATTGACCGGGGCGGATCCAGAATTTTTTATACGGAGGGAGGGGCATTTGTATTCTTATTTCTTTTTTTATTTCAATACATAACATTAAAATGCACTGACATTTAAAAGAAATTGTGTCAAAACGCTGTTTTGACACTTGACACTGTTCTGCTGACTTAAGTTCCAATAGATGTTTGAACGTAATTAATTCACTGAAAAAAAAATATCTGTTGTTTCAAGGGCTTAATTCAATGTGAAAAGTAATATATACGCTAGTCGGATAACTTACAATAAAACGGTACGTGAATTTATGTTTTATTATTATTATTATTGTTGTTGTTTTTGTTATTATTGTGATGAGATGAAAAAAAATAGGTCAATGAAGGCGATATGGTTGCTAAATGAACAGACATGTAAAAATATTTTTAAAATTCCCTGACGGAATGTACTAATCTTCCCCGACGGGGGGTTAGGCTTCCCCGACGAAGGGGCTATAGCTCCCTCAGTCCCCCTCCCCACCCTGGTGCCACCACTGGGAGAGCCACTTGATAGTGGCAATCCTTAGGTAATGTACATCTTGTTTGAATTTCTAAGTTTTCTCTTGTGGAGAGAGCCTAAGTTGATAAAATTAAATGGGCGATAACAGAATATTGCATCACACCATCATCATCAACACTATTATTAATAGGTAGATTTCGCCATACGACATTAACCTTAACAGACGACGTCATAATTAATTTATTCATCTTGCTTTGCGGCGAACGTTAATTTCAGAATTTTACGTGCTCGACTGGTATTTTGATTTGTTACAAAAGGGGCGGAGCTATCACGATGCATGGGTACTAAAGTTAAAGTTAATGTCGTGCGGTGAAAACTACTCATTATCATTATCAACATTAGTATTATCATTATTATTATCATGTTGCTGACGTATTGCATATTGAATTGACATAACACAATTACAAGTCTAAAAATGGTTATAAATATATTCAAAACAAATCGATGAAGTTAAAAGTAGCACAATATAATAGAATGCAGAAGTATAACATCAGTACACATGGTAGACCAGCTGCTTTTCTCAACTTTTTAGCTGATGACTAAAACAAATGTTCAAGCAATTTGCCGCGACCCATTTCTTGGGACATTAAAAACAGACACTCAAAAATTGAAGTACAATTTTCAAAAATTGTTCTTAGAAAGCACTCTCTTTACTTCAGTAAATTTTAGCAGCATGATATAAAATTCAATTTTTTAAAAATCCAGAAGAGTCATCTTCTAATAATTTAGGCAACCGAATTGGGTCATGACCCATAGTTTGAGAACCGCTGCTGTAGACAGCAAAAAATACAAAAAAAAATACTGGTCATGTACTTCATTTGAATGAGTGATCTTGTACTTTAGAAACATAGGCATATGAGAATACTAGGTTGCCTATTTTGACTTAAAAGAAAAAAAAGATTATCACAAAATTATGTTAACAGATACTGTAGGAACTGTGGTTGTGGTTTGATATTGAACAGCGCCTGCATGTGGAGTCATTTAAGGAAATTGTTGAAGGAGGCCACTAAGTACAAAAATGTACACAAATCAAAATTCAAGACTTTTAGAATTTCAGAAAAAAAAAACCAGATCATATGATGATATCAATGATCATGATCATATAAAAACTAAAATGATTTAATTTGGCCAAATGTCACCACAATCAAGATCCCTTTCAATTTCATGTTCCATATATTGCACACTTGTGAAAAAATAAGAAGTAGGCTCAAGAAGAAAAAGTAACACTGCTAAAAAAAAAAAAAAAAAAAGATTACAAAGGCAATAATCAAATAATACATTGTAAAAACCAAAATGAAGTGGAAAGAAAAAATAGCACACACCAGCAGGATTCCAGAAAAAAAATCATGATGGTTTCATTAAAAAAACAGATTGCCAGATCACGACCAAAAATCCTGAATTTCTGTCTCAACGACAAACAGATAGTACTTATTATTAACTGTGTACAGCATTCACATAAACAAGGTCATACCTGCACAAATATTATGGTTATACATGTTATACTATATTTGTAAATGTTAAAAAGGTAATAAAATAAGCATAACTATGGTTTCATTTATAAAAAGGTTGTTTTCATTTATAAAAAGGTTGTTTGATCACAACCTAAATTTCCTGAATTTCTGTCTAAAGTTAAAAGTTATTTATTAACTAATGTGTACAGTATTCGCATAAACAAAGGTCATACCTGCACCTAATATAATATGGTTCATAAAAAACTTTGCCAGATCACGATCTAAAATCCTGAATTTCTGTCTCAACAACAAACAGATAGTACTTATTATTAACTGTGTACAGCATTCAAATAAACAAGGTCATACCTGAACAAATATTATGGTTATACATGTTATACTATATTTGTAAATGTTAAAAAGGTAATAAAATCAGCATAAATAAGATAAATGCTTTGGCAAGCTAGGTTAGTAACAGAAGCGGGCATAAAAATACCAAATGAAAGGCTTAAATAGAAAAAATGAGGAGGGGGAGGGAGAAGCAGAGGTAGAATTTAAGAGAAGTCCTGACCAAGTCGATTAAAAAGCATTGAGCTACTGGAGGTCAAAGGTCAACCATGCTCAATTTATGAGTCTAGAGTAAGGATTATTCTTTTCTCGTTTGTTTATTTGGGAAAAATTGTATAAATAGCACCTAGACATCTGTGATTTTTGCTGAAGTATGAAAATTGTGTTTATATTATCATTTATTATTATTTATATCAAGTCTTAATAATATTAATCATAAAATTAATCTACGGAATACAATATCGACACCTAGAAACTAACCCTGCTATGTTAGCATATAACTTCATACATTTTAACTACATTATTTTAAAATATCTTCAGTTTTATATGGAAACTGATGAATACAGAAGATAAATCAGACTTGAGGAACTTCTTTTGTTTCATGTTCCGTATAGACAAGCAGCGGCTGCTGAGGTTGAACCATAACCTGCTGTTGCATCATGGGATTTCCGTGGACACCAACCTGACCTTGGTTGACAACTTGACCTGTGATGGATAGCAAATATTCTTAAAATAAAAAACTAGTAAAATACTGAAAATTTATTAAATGTTGCATGGTGACATGCATACAGGACGGTGGATATAAGGCAATTTTAATATTAATGAAGACATAAAAACAAACATACCAGGTTGAACAACATAGGATGCATACTGTTGCTGGCCCACAACCTGTAATGCAAGAGAAAAGGTGTACAAATTTTAGATATTAATACAATTATGACTAAAAATCTAAATTTTTGTCTCATAAACAATGGCAGACCTGTATCGCAGTAGGGAATAAAGGATGCCTCCTAGTGGAGAAATAAACTGAAAATTGCCAATAAAATCAATGACTTCTTTGGTTCGGTCAATGAAGATTTATTTATATATTTATGTCATTTGTGTGACTGTGTTATACAGGTATTGGATAAATTTATGTTAGTGAAAGTTTGTTAAATATGCCTTTGCTGTGTCCTTTTAAAAATTTAATATCATTTATATCAAGGACATTTATGTTCAAGTATGGCAGCACATATGTCAGATAACCCCCTCAAACACAAGTAATAAAAACAGCCAGAATGCTCAAGCCATGGGGCTACCATTGGATATGAAATTAATAATTTATGTGATATGAGAAATTTAAATGAGAGTAAATTATAAATTCTTTTATCCTCTGCTTTGACAATTTATTTCGTATAAAAAATTATCTCCAAGCTTTGTACAGTTTGCATTCACTATGTGTTCATTAGTGCGCTGTACAGTATCACTCTTTTTTACTATTCTTAAGCCCTGTCAAGACTATCAAATTTTATTTTACAAAAACATGTGACATGACTAAATATGGTCATCATGACATCACATAATGACCATATATAGGCACATCATGACCATATATAGGCACATCATGACCATATATGGGCACATTATGAAAATTATGTGTTTCCAACCTGCCACTACGTTGTCGGTGAGTGGTAATATCCTTCCTTGCTTTGTGTAAAGTGTAACTACTGTATATGTAAAGGATTGTTTCATGAACTGTATTTAAAATGTGTGGTCTTGTGGTACCACACAGTAAAATTAGGAATTTCCCTCCTTTGTGTTCTATTCTACTCTATGCTGGTGTTCGTCATCGCCTGTTCAGCATCTGGACGAGTGTGTGCTTCGGTTGATGGGGCATCCACAAGTGCTCATTTTAGTGTTTCATATATATATATATATATATACATATTATATATTAAAGTAAATGAATGTTAAAACTTAAAGAATGTAAAACTTCGAACCACTGCCCTCCAGCCGTCAACTCGTAGGTGTTCTCTAGGGTAGTGGGCTGGTCACTTCTGGTTTCCACCGAGGGCTAATCCCTCGGCTCTGCCACCGTTAACTGAACATACTGACCTTGATAAAAACATATAATTATAAAGACTGTCTTAATAAAATGTATAACTCACATTTGGTGTTTGTTGTTCACAGCAACAATTTATCCCACAACACATGAATGCAGATGAAACAATGGCTGTGACAAGTTCAGCCACTCCAATTAGGACACTCAGAATGTTGACAACGTACCATCCATCACGCTAATAATAAACAATAATAATATGTTTTAAACAATTTTTTTCTGACATGATCAATTGTCATACTGTACTACTGAAATCAAAATATTGTGATGGAATCAGAAGCAATATATTCATCACAATGTAGACTCCATTCTTTTATCAATAACAACAGTATATTTATTTTTATATAGCGCAGAATGCTAGAAACCTCTATGAGCTTTACATTAAAAGCAAAAGCTGGATCAGAATTAAAAGAAAAGATGATAGAAAATGAGCAAAATCTTATTGCAATCAAAATAATCAGATATTTATCAAAAAAATAACAGGTTAATTTTATGATTCTTTTTTTTTCCTTCTTTTTCAATTATAATTGTTTAATTTAAAAATTTCAACCAAGTTTTTATCTCAATTACCTTCTCATTCCATTTTCTTTATTCATTCCCATTTTATTTTAGATTTCTTAACTATTCAACTATTTCATTGTTTACATTTTGTTGATGTGTTTGGCTTTTCTTTCCTTCCAATAACACTTGGCCTGTATATCCCAAACCCAAGTCCCTTCTTATCTTTTCATATGTTCCCTTAAAAATTTGTTGGAGTGGGAAAGTGAATTTTTTTATTTAACGCCAATGGCCACACTCAAACATACATTTGCAGTGAGCTTCCAAAAACTTCCATGCACTGCTTTTATACTGCTTTATCCTCAGTTTTAATATTACTTTTTAAAGATGATTATTGTTCTGTAAAAGACAAGGTATTTTCTAGTCAAAGATGGTTTGCAGGCCGCACACATAGGATTTTTAATTCATTTTCGCAGGCTGCAAAATAATCACTGTCAGGCTGAACTTTGCTCACCTGCCTTACTATTTCCTTCCTTTTTCATTCAAATGTTTCCTTATCTTTTCTTTCCTTTTCCTTTCTTATGTTTATTACCATTCAATATTTTTTTCTTGCTTCTCTTCCTCTCTACCTTTACAGTTCTCATCTCTTTTTTTATCCTACCATTCCTTCTTTCATCCATTCCTCTTTTCTTACTCTTTATCCTTCCATGCCATTCCTTTTATGCCTTCCCTTTCTCAATACCTTACTTTCCTTCCTCTTACACCTTCTATTATTACATTATCTTTTACACCTTTAAAAAATCAAAATATTGGTAAACATTCCAAAAAATGGAGAAACATAGTCCTTCAAATTACCTCAAAATAATAATCATCAAAATAAAGACCAACTTCTGTAGAAAAACTACCAACAATGATATGGGCACAGGCCGTCACAGCTGCAAGTATTGACATCACCAAACAACCTATAATCTGTAACAGAGGATTATTAACCATTGGTATAAATACAGGCAGCTCTTGGTAATTGCAAGATATGAGAAAATGATGAATGATGATACAGCAGTAACAACGTTCAGATTCAGATTCAATGTTATTTGTCCAATATGGAAATAGCACAGTAGATTAAGTACATTTTCTTGTCATTCACATTTTATATAAAACATTTGTTCCATAAAGACAAATTATACATTAAAATGGCTAGTGAAATACTTAAAACAAAAACAACTTCAAACAGACAATAACAAGATACAGTTGAAGCATTCATAATACAACAAGATAGTAAGTAATAAAATATTAAAATGTTGAATAAATAAGATTTCAGTTAAAATTTTAAAATTACTAAAAGAATAAGAGATTCCAGTTAAAAAAATTAAAATGATTAAATTTCAGATTAAAACAATAAGGCCAATTAAAATACTGGACAGCAGCTGTATACATATAACAACATCAAAAATGTCCAATACAATCTAATCGAATATGGTATGAATTCTTGTATTCGTCTGTCCCACATTTAAATGACCTACATACATATTACAGTATTTCCTTTAGAGCGCATCTTTTGACAGTAGAGGGATTTAGATTTGTGCAACAACACAGAGCTGATGCATGACCGTCCTACCAAGCATCCAACATTCTCTGCATACATAGATTTGGACAAATTGCATCCTAGAATCCACACAACGAGGAACACTTAACATTCTCGTATGCGCAGATGATTTTAGCGACATCATTACGTTCTACCATCGTCGTGCAATCGAAAGCTTTCTACTAAAAATTTAACGGATGATTTAAATCCTTTTGAATATTTTTGGTCTTTGCGTTAATACAATTGTTACTTTAAGTGAGTAATTAATTTTTGTAATTTACCAGATTTGTTTAGAATACACTGGATGACAGTTTTATAGTTTTCTACCCTACACCACCAAACAACACAACAGAAAGCAAGTACTGCTGAGAAAAACAGGTTGACTTGTCTACACTAAATTTATTCAATTTTCTATTAGGAAGAACAGGCACATGTTTCCTTTACAAAAGTATTTTTACACTGCTCAACCTAATTTAATTCACTATCAATAAATATTTTAAATTTTTAGCACCTTCCATCATAGACTCATTTATGTTAAGCAGTCCAAGTGGTAAAGATTTCTTTCCTATAATCTAGAATTATCGCTTTTGCTTTCTTTTCATTCAAAATTAAACTATTTTCTTTGCACCTAACAGGGAAAGCCTTGACTTCTTCACGATAAAAATCAAGATAACGTGATATTCCAAGCCTTTGTGTTGGCAAGTAAGTCTTGAAAATTAAAGACTGGCTTTTTATTTTTAAAAAAATATAGTTTTTCTACCAGAATGCTTGGGTCACTTTCAATAATAATCAATAATAATAGATACTTTAAACAGGCCTTTTGCCGGCTCAAGATGTGTAACTTACAGCACATGAATTTCTCCCATCACTCTGTCCTGCAACCACTCCTAGAATTCCAGCCACAAGGTAGAACTGCAGAAAAATATTAATTTTTATAATTCATGAATATTTCATTTAAATTTTCATTAATTTGGGTGTTTTTGGGACCTGAAAAAGTAACGTTATTATGTCCTGTACATCTGCAGGCCTATAAATAACATTCTTCATATCTGTCTCTTATACACATCTAGATGTGTATAAGAGACAGCGTTCTACCATCGTCGTGCAATCGAAAGCTTCCTACTAACAATTTAACGGATGATTTAAATCCTTTTGAATATTTTTGGTCTTTGCGTTAATACAATTGTTACTTTAAGTCAGTAATTAATTTTTGTAATTTACCAGATTTGTTTAGAATACACTGGATGACAGTTTTATTTTCTACCCTACTTGGATTGGATTGGATTTATTCGGTGTTAACACCAAGGATAGCCCACGAAAGTCTAGAAGAAGACTTATTTCCAGTGGGGTCCTTCTGGTGGTGATTGGGCAGTACACCGGGAGACAATCCCCTACTCTTTTCCGAAGAGTGTACTGCGTTCTTTAACGTGCACATGGGCCATAATGCACACGGGACCAATGGCTTAAACATCTCATCCGAAATACGGTGCGCTATTGTAACTTGTATTTCAGCCCTCTAGCTGAAACACAAGGAGAGGCAGCGATGGGAATTGAACCGGGGACCTAGAGATCTCCACGGTTCAGCGCACACACAGCGGCTACCACCAGATTAGCCGACTGAGCTAGCTGCTCTCTACACCACCAACACAGCAGAAAGCAATGACACTTTCAAGTACTGCTGAGAAAAACAGGTTGACTTGTCTACATTAAATTTATTCAATTTTCTATTAGGAAGAACAGACACATGTTTCCTTTACAAAAGTATTTTTACACTGCTCAACCTAATTTAATTCACTATCAACAGTGGCACCTAAATATTTTTAATTTTTAGCACCTTCCGTCATAGACTCATTTATGTTAAGCAGTCCAAGTGGTAAAGATTTCTTTCCTATAATCTAGAATTATCGCTTTTGCTTTCTTTTCATTCAAAATTAAACTATTTTCTTTGCACCTAACAGGGAAAGCCTTGACTTCTTCACGATAAAAATCAAGATAACGTGATATTCCAAGCCTTTGTGTTGGCAAGTAAGTCTTGAAAATTAAAGACTGGCTTTTTATTTTTAAAAAAATATAGTTTTTCTACCAGAATGCTTGGGTCACTTTCAATAATAATCAATAATAATAGATACTTTAAACAGGCCTTTTGCCGGCTCAAGATGTGTAACTTACAGCACATGAATTTCTCCCATCACTCTGTCCTGCAACCACTCCTAGAATTCCAGCCACAAGGTAGAACTGCAGAAAAATATTAATTTTTAATGACACACATTGGAATTGTTGACACTTTGTTTTGCTATTTACCAGTGTGCACAGCTAATTACCTCAGTAAAGGAGGTTATCTATTCACCACCCATGGACTGTCTGCCTAGACCTTATAGCAAGATTACATAAAAACTAAGGAATGGATCATCATAAAATTTAGTGGAATGGTACATGATAATGTTAGAAAGAGATGATTACATTTGGGGGGGGGGGAATCAAAGGACAAGGCCAAGGTCATGGAAATTAAATTTTGTACCCTTGATCATAGTGGAACTTCCCATCATACACAGCCTGCATATTGTTCAGTATTCAGGCACTGCACGGAGGTATGCATTCTGTGGAATGAATATGCATACATGTATAGCTACAAATGCTCCTTTTACCCTGACAGTAAAAGCACAGTCTCCCCATGGTGTGAATTGATACGTAAAGTCTGAAACAATTTACAGTACGACAGCAGTGATGACACAGGCCCGTAGGCAGGATTTTGGATGGGGAAGTGCGTTTTGCAACCAAAGTGGACCTTACGATGGGCGACTGCCTAGGGATCTCCGCGAGGGTGGGGCGAATCTTCTGGAAGCTCCGACAAATTACCATTTTGAGGGCCTTTTTTAATGGATTTCTAAAATCCATAATTTGTAATATGTATTGTCTAGGGACCTACAGTAAAGAATGAGAAATAGAGGGTGGGAGTGAAGGGAGGAACTTGCACAGACAGATGGACAATACCACCTCAGCCCCACCATGGTTGGGGCTAAGGTAAGAAAATTTATGATTATGGCACCTCAAAATGGCCGGCAATGGCACTCTCAGACAAACTTTAATTATGATTTTTCTTTTTTCTCCATTTCTTTTATAATTTTAGGGGGCTCTTCCCCTTGAATCCACCACTGCGGAATTGTAATTTTTCATGTTCTAATACATCTGTAGGCCTACAGATGACATGGATCAATCTGCAATCACTGGAGCTGACAGTTTCCAACAGATTTCATAGCACATTATTAAAAATCAACAGGTAGAAGAGCGGGCAAAAACATGTAATGCATACTATACCATTTCTCTATAATTAGGAATGATATTAGTGAAGTAATAGGTTTTAAAAAGTGGACTTTTTGAAATTTGGTGGTCCAGGGGCAGAGGCCTAGAGGGGGTTTGTGAGAAAAGTGACAAAGTAGCATTTTGAGATTTCTCAAACACATAATTCATGAATATTTCATTCAAATTTTCATTAATTTGGGTGTTTTTGGGACCTGAAAAAGTAACGTTATTATGTCCCGTACATCTGCAGGCCTATAGATAACATTCTTCATATTATATAGATCAATCTGCAATCAACGGAGACGATAAATTTCTAACAAATTTCATACCACATTATTAAAAATCAACGGTTAGATAAGCTAGCAAATATATAATGCAATGCATGCTATAGCATTTTATGATAATTAGGAACGATTTTGTGAAATCACAGGTTTTAAAAAGTGGACCTTTTGGAATTTGGGAGGGTGCGTCCACACCCTCTGCACCCCACCTGCCTACGGGCCTGTGACAACACAAATGAATTTTACAATCATCATGGAAATTATAATGGTATTTGGTGTAAATTTCCTGATAAGTGAAATACTAATTTAATATGCAAATGAGCAATTAGCTTATTCACATACGTACCAAAAATAATATGGCTCTGTCTCCTTATTATCTTCTTGCATTCTGTCAAGTTTGAAACCAATTGGATTTTAATACCAAATTTTAGTTATTTGGTAACTGAAGTAAATTTCCTGATTATTAGTGAAATATTAATTATGCAAAAAAGCTATTAGTATATTCACACATGTACCAAAAACAATTTAAGCTCTGTCTTCTGATTATCATCTTGCATTTTGTGAAGTTTGAAACCAATCAGACTTGCCAAAATTTAGTATCGTAGTAACTAGCATAAATTTCCTGATTAGTGAAATATCAATTATGCAAATTAGCAATGAGCATATCCACGCACGTACCAAAAACAATGAACTCTATCTTCTTATTACCATCTTGCATTCTGTCAAGTTTGAAACCAATTGGACTTACCACACTTTAGTTATCATGACAGCGAACTAGTTACTACCAAAAATTTAAAACTAGTTACTACCAAAAATTTAATTAGAAGAATGAATGTGGAATATATGATGTAAATGTGAGGAAAGGAACAACAAATTAAGTATTTTCAAATATTGTATTTACCCCAAGTGCAGCCCAGATTGGAAAAGCAATAATCACTAAATAATATCTAGAAAAAATACAAGCCACACCAAAAGCAAGGGATAGCACTGCCAGACCTATCTGCATATAGCCGGTTATTAGCGCCGCTTTCTTGTTCCAGGATGATGGAGGGTGTACTGGACCTGGCTGGTAGAGAACTGCCTGACCAGCTATTGGAGCTTGCACTTGTACGTTTGTTGTCATGGTAACTCAGTTTACTGAAAAGAAATAAAACAAGGTGCAGCATATAAAAAAATTACTTGATTTTTCAATGGGGAGTAACTGGGAAGGTGCTCAGGTGGGTGGCTTTTAACTGTATGGAAAGTTACACTAGAGCTGCTTCACCAGGGGAAACTTGCTGTTTGGACTTTCAAAAAACTTTTGACTCGCAAAGCTTATTACCGTATAAGGCGACCCTAGTGTTCTCCTGAAGCCGTTTTAGCCATCAAATTTTACCAGTAAAAATATCTGATCAACCAGTAAATTGTGTGTTGGTAGGATTTAAAAAGCACTTACCGGTATTGGCCTATGTAGCCTAGGCTGGCCTTCTTTTAATAAATGAACATCATTCCAGTCCAGGCCTAGGCAATGATTATGTATTATTGCTGTTTTTTGAAGCCATTGAACTCCACTTACAAGTGGCAATACTTTCATGTTGTGTGCTCTTATCTGGCTTATATGGACAAATTTACTAGTAAAAATGTTTCAATTGGGAGAACAGTGGACCCCCATATATGATGCCCCTAAGTAATTCAGCAGATTTTTAGACTTTTGTATTCCAGGCTGGGATTTATCAATCTCAGCTTAGCAAATGTCTTAAGTCAAAAAAGTTAAAATGTCCTTAATCAAATATTCTAAACTGATTTATCAAACCATCTTAGCAAAATCTTAATCTTTTAAGCAATTTTTAAGCTAAGCAATATTGATAAAACTTAAGCAAGAAAATAGACTTAAGACCAATTTAAGCTGATTTTTAAACTTGATAAATCCGGCCCCTGGTGTGACAACCCCCCTGAGTCATCGTCAGAATTCCTATTTTTCACTGGCATTTTATGGTCTTCGTACTGCATCCAGCTAGCTAAAAACGAAGTCGAAAGCTAGACTAATCTTCCAAAAATAATACCATTTTATGAGTTTCTAAATGTTCATAAAAATTTATTTCCCCGTATTCAAAATTGCATTCATTCATAACATTAATAGCCTCACTGCAATAGCAAATTTGTGTTACGGATGATCCGCACATAAGACGAAACATGATTTTAAAAATACAAAATTGGTATGTTGTGCATAAAGACGACCCCCCTGTTTTTCGATCGTAATTTGCTATTTTAAGCCTTGTCTTATACGCGAGTATGCAAGCCAAAGGAATTCAAGGTAAACTCCTGAACTGGATCAAAGGTTTCCTGACTGGTAAAAAAAACTCTAAGTGTGAGGAATGGTAGTTCATTGACAGGGGAGGCTACTGTGTAGGACCCCAAGGATCTGTTATAATAGTGCCACTTCTGTTTTTAGTAAACTGAGAGATTGCTATATTCCAAAATGGAATTCTCTACCACCTAAAACGGATGTGGCTAATTTCAAAGAACTACAGTTATAGACCAAATTCGTCACCAAACATTAAACAAACAACTAGGTGGCAGTTTTTTCACACAATAAAAGCCTTTAATTTTGACACTTTTTAAATTCCTCAAACTTATTTATTTGTACATTTTATCTTAAAATAACTTATCAAAAAGCCTTGGCAAACATTTCTTTAATAAACGCCACAGTCTTGACCAGCTAGATTTGAAATGGAGTAAAAGAAACAAATGGAAAACTTGAACATTTTTGCATAGCCTCCTCGCATGAACACAGGCCTAGCCCTAGACTATATAGAGAGTCATACAACTAACATTTTTCTGACTCATTGGCCATCGTAGTCAAAAGAAACATCTTATTCTACAATTCAGAAATTTAAAGTTCCTCAAATAGTTTAAGTACTTCATACAGAAATTGCAACAAAATGAATTGGTAGTTATTTAAGCTGAATATGTGCCTCAGTCTATTTAAGGTTGGTTCCCAGTTGCAGAAAACCTGCCGCAATGGAACGTACGCAACGTAACGTAAGGAAATGCTCTTCCAGCAATTTCATATCCCCCTCTTTACGGAAAGTTGAATTTGCACTTTGTACGTGACGCAACGTAACAAAATGGATACGGTTCCCACTTGCCGCCTCGTAAACGCAATGATTTTCACGGGAAGCTTTCAAAAACAGTTATGAAATTATCATTTATCGTAGGGCAACCAATGTGTTGTAGGGTAGGGGGTGGGTTGTGTTCTGGGTATCAATTTTCGCAGCCCTGGCTGGGTGTACAAATACTGTAGTGCATTAAATTTAATTGATTTTTTCTTTTTAGCTTAACAGAAAAAAATAAAATAATCATTATAAATCAACAACTATAAATAGATTTAAGCCTATGTCCGATTAATAAATATACAGTTTACACTTATTTAATTATTAATATAAACATTATCTAAATATGCCTAGGCCTCATTTTACTAGGTAATGTTTTAGTTTACTAATTTGGCACAACAAATTAAATAACAAATTGTATGACATTTTCATGTTTGTAAAACTAGGATTTAAATTTTGTTTATTGGGAGGGGGAGGTATATCTCCTCAACAGGGCACTCCTCCGGTCCCCATCTGGGCGTCACTCCTGGGTAATATATAAATAGTTTTTGAGGAACGGACTTGGGCAAGATTGCATATAAATATTAATGTTTACAGTCTTGTATAGATAGGTATATATGCCATGCAGTAGAAAAGCACTGTCACAGCGGCTCTACCGAGACAGGCTGCTGTAGGTTGCGATGTAATAGGCTATGAAAACAATAATAGTAATATAATAGCAGCAACATCATTGATAACAGCAGCCAATAATAATTATTATTTAAGAGGTGATGGCTAGGGCCTGGATGTGGCAAATCCTGTGAGCGACATGCCTTAAGCCCACTAGAAAGCCTCTTGAAATTCTTCATATTTTTAGTCTGAATGGAAATTTAAATCAAATCAACCTTTAATCTCATGATTGAATAATTCAAAATGTATACAATGATTGTTATAAAAAGTAACTTAAATTCGCTGTTTTCCACAATTTAAATGGACGTACATGTACGTTGATAATGAAAGCCACACAGACAAATAGCAACAAAGGCATGATTTACTACAAAATTTTCAAAAAAAAAATATAGGCCCTACGAGCGAGGGTCCTAATAATATAATAATAGAATTGATTACAAATACATAACAATTTGTGGTAGGGTATCTCAGGGGTGGCGCCAGAGGGGGGCTGGGGGGCTATAGCACCCCCGTCGGGGAAGCTTAGCCCCCCGTCGGGGAGGACGATATATTTTGTCGGGGAACAAACAAATAAAAAAAAATATTTACATGTAATATTTGTTTAGCCACCATATTGTTTGTTAACTTTTTATCACAACAACAACAATAACAATAATAATAATAATTCAATGAGACTAATTAAAAATAATTTGCGTTCTGTTATGACAAATGCTCATTTAGATAGCCTCATGATGGTTGGAATACATCGTGATAGGTGAAGCAACCTCGACCATGACAGCGTGGTTGACAGACTTAATGCAAAATTTCCAAAATATAGAATTTAATTTTCAAGAATGAGGATTTGAAAATAAATTAGATGGTTACATTGCATACTCTTTGTTTCTTGTTTTATTCAAAATGTTTTGGTTTTGGAAGCTGATTTCAACATTAGAAAGCATAGCCTACATGATATTATAGTAACTCGATGCCTATGAAATAAGTAATAAAAAATCGCCATAATTCATCAAATACCCGTGGCTTCCAGGGGCCTTCGCCCCCCTGGGCCCCCAGCCAAGTGAGACTCGATTCGCTCCACTAGCCCCACCC